CGTGGGATGGTATCGGCCAAGACCTCATCGACAAGCTGTTGAAATCGATGCAGAAGCGCTGCGTGAGTGTCTTGGAACTCAAGGGGAGTAAGACAAAGTATTGAGAGCAATTTGGATCGTAATCGACAAACATTGATGCACTTTATTGACGTGGTCTTATACTTATTGCCATCGACGATTTTATAATCTGTACACAATGTGAGATTGAATGTTTAAATTGCCTTTGTTGCTGCACTTACAGGCCTCAATTTCGTATTCAATCAATTGTATGATATGGCGCACCGTTGTTTTCAGGTGGTTGTAGCGTAACGTCCAAATTGGTGGGTGGTCTTATACTTTTTGCCAGCACTGTATGCTTGATTTAACCAATCAAATACCTTTATTTGTTATTGACTCGTCCGGTGATGGACCAAAATCTTGACGAATGAGGGAGCTCTTGAGCATTTTCTGTTTGATGAAAAGGAGAGAAAAAAGTTGTGAATTGCTACTCTGAACTCCTTTTCGTTTTATTATTTAGCTTACTCCGAAAGGGGCCTTAGTACTCGTTAGCATGGTTTCCATTTATAAATAATATTCATTTATTATGGATCGAATCAATGAATATTCCCAGTGAGAAAGAAATGATCCCTTAGTTAGTACTAGTACTACTACTAGTACGGCTAGTACTACTATCATCACTAAATTACAGTTTTGAAGAACAGCTGGACGGCTAGCATGGCCGAGGAGTTCGATGCGACTCCGACGGCAACGGGAAGCAGCACGACCGCGAGCGCCATCCAGCCCACCACCGACGACACCCTCCTGTCATGCTTCCACGAGGCCAGCAGGTCAAAGTACATGGACGAGGAGGGGGAGGCGGCAGTTGTGGTCGTTGACGGTCCGTCAACGATGACGGGAGGTGATGATGGACGGGTTGCAGTCGCGGGGTGTTGCTGCTTGCGATGGAGATCAGCCACGCAGGTATCGCACGCGCGCAGAGTCGTCCAGTAGTTGGCATGGATGCGATGGGTCGAACACGGTCCACAGACGACATGGCGGCAGACGTGGCAGTTGTGTCTTTTCCAGTACGACCCGATCCTAATGGCGCACACGGTGCATGTCGATGCTTTGAGTTCGTAGGTCGTTTTGTCGGGAACGCGCGTCGCTCGAAGCACTTCCGGTCCCAGATGTTGATGCATCTCCATCTTCGTCGTCCCGAGTTGCCCTGGGCGTGATGGGAACGTCTCGAGTTCATACAGCGTTCGGAAACGTTAGAGGAGCTTGAACGGTGCGTCCACAGCGAGCGCATGCATCACCAGTACCGGGAGCATGCCGCCGAGATCCAAGTGCGCGACCATGGTCACCCGACACGACAGATCGTCTGGCATCTCGTCCACGACATACCCCGAAGGATGGTTGATCCCTCGAACATACTGCTTGGATTCAGGCGCGGATGCATGCGATGTCAAATCTACGCTTCCCACCTCCTTCATCTTCTTTCAACATCGTCACCACGACAAAGCCCCGCGCCGTCGACGTCGCAAACACGGGCTTGGACAGCACATGCCGCACCGAGTAGCGCTTGTCAGAGGACGTATATGCTTCCCAGCTCGTGACACTGCGCCGTCATGTCATCGAACGTCGTCATGTCCGCGGCGGACGCGAGTTTGTCGGCGAGGAACCACGCGGGACAGCGCACGATGGCGGTCGCTTTCATCGCATGCCAGTCCGACGTTGGCACAACCCCTCGAAACACGCCAATCCTCCTCCCATCTTCGTCTTCTTCGTTGGTGGCATTCACTGGTGTCCATGAAAACTTGCTCGACGCGCTTTCGTCGGCAAACGCCATAGTATACAGACAATGAAGGAATGATGGTCGTTGTAGGTGGGGAGTGGTGAATGATGGTCGTGCAGTGTAAACTTGTGGAGCAACTTGACTGGCGCGTCTACGGACAAGAGGTTGATCACGACCACCCGCCCGCCCAAGTCCACATGCACAACCATCGTCACATGACATACATCGTCGTCGTTCACCTTGATGGGAGCAAGAATGTACCCTGATATATATATGGACAATTCCTCTCACAAACCCACATGTCTCGGGGGGCGCTTGGGTCGTGGATCTGGACGTCGGGGGGTTCCGGGGTTTCTGCCTGTGATTCCCTCATTCTTGTGTGCACGAACAGATTGGACTCGTTAAGTGCAGCTATCTGAAGTCCTTCAAAAGCACCATAAAACGAAGGGATTGGAGCTGTACCAGTTTGGATCAGATTCCACTGACATTTTCGTAGTGAAGTGGGGGTATACTGTACGGTGGCCATTCTCCAGGGTTGCCAGAACGTCGTCCAATCATCAGCTGCCTTTTTTGCACCAGATCAACCGTTCGAACTTGTGGTTTATGCAAGATGGGGCTGCCATTGGATCGAAAACGTCTGGGGCATGATGGTGAAGTACGTGTATATATGCGAATGGAAAGCAGTACGCACTTCAAAGCACTTCGACGCGTCTACAATAATATACATTGCTTGTCATATGAATGATCGAGCCACTACAGTGATGGCCGTTAAAAGTGGACGAAAGTAGCACTGGCCGATTCAGTCGGCGAGATTCGATTGAATGGGGTCCGGAAATTCGTACCGAATCTCAATTACTTGGTGTGATTTCAACTGCAAAGGTTGTGGTTACGACGAATTTGGTGTGACCAAAACCATCACTTGGATTTACATCACTTCGAAGAACATCGAGTTTGTGTATTAACACGTTACCACATAACACACTTCTTGGTCGGGTTCATGGGCGAGTCCACAGGGCAGTTGAACGCCTTGGCAAAATCGACCGAGTTTTGAACCGACCCGATCAAGCGGTGGCGATTAGGGGGGTGTACGTCGGTGAGCAGAAACTGGAGGCGCGCATCGCTGTTCTTTTCGCACCACGATTGGGCGTATCTGATCCAAAACATCTTTTCGCCTGCTTCCTTGGTGTACTTGGTGGCTTCGACCTCGGCGTTCACGAAGTCCCGGTACGCTCGGTACACAGTGTTGAGGCCCCCATTGTCAGCGATGGTTTCCCCCCTTGTCCTTCTTCCGTCCAACTTGCCGAGCAAATCCCCCGTGAGCTCGCTTTTGACGTCCATGGACCTATACTGGTCGACGAAGCACTCGGCCTTTTCGCGGAATATTTTCGCCGCGGTTTCCGTCCACCATGGTTTCTTTTTGCCGTTGCCGTCGTATCTTCTGCCATGGTCATGGTTGTCGAAGCCGTGGGAGATTTCGTGGCCGATGATAAAGCCAATGGCGTGTCGAAGCCGTGGGAGATTTCGTGGCCGATGATAAAGCCAATGGCGCCATAGTTCGCGGACGGGTCCGCCTTGGCATCGAAGAACGGGGGTTGCAAGTAGGCGGCGGGAATCACGATTCTGTTCTTCGAAGGCTGGTAGACCGCATTCATGGATTGCGCAAGTTTGTTCCAAAGATGCTTGTCCACGGCAGTGTCGATAAGAGCTAGGTTGAAAGTAGTGTCGAACGCAGACACCTTGTTCAGGTTGGCAATGTATGCCTTGGGGTCAAACGTCAAGGTGGGGT